GGTAGAGTTTGGAGAATCATGCTGAAGGCTAGGGGATTTGCAGTGGGGTCATGGCATTGCTGGCACATGGGGTGGGGGTTGGGCCCCTGGGACATCAGTCTACTCAGGAATTTTAGTACCATTGAACATTTGATTGTGAAGAGAGTCTAAGAATTATTATTTTTTTCAAGACACGGTTTTTCTGTGAAGCTTTGGTTATCCTGGATCTTGCTAGGTAGACCATGCTGGCTTTGAACTCTACCTACCAAGGTGCTGGGATTAAAGGAGTTTGCTATTACTGATGAGTCTTAGAAAACTTTTCAGGTTCATGCTTCATGATTGGCAAAGAACAATCTAATTTGAAACTCTGTGTCTCTAGGTCAGAACCCCACAGAATGTTCTCAAATCCCTATGCTCCCAGAACATAAGGAAGAGGGCCCCTGATCCTTCTAGAATGCTGTAGCAACTTCTGCTGGAGAAGGCCATTGAGAAGAAGAAGTGGGAATTCTATTTGTCATCACCAGCCATGCATTTATCGTGCGTTCAGAGACAGGACTCAATTCAAAGCTGATGTGTTACTTTACATCAAATGCTTGTTGTGGTAAATATTAGAGGTAAGCTGAAGATTCTAAAGGCCCCAAATGTGTCATATTGACTGTAGGTACCCAAACTTTAGTCCATTAGACTTGTCTGTTATGATTTGTCACATTATTACTGCCTTTTTGTTTTTCTTTTGTTTTGTTTTCTAGACAGGGTTTCTCTGTGTAGCCTTGGCTGTCCTGGACTCACTTTGTAGACTAGTATGACCTCAAAGTCACACAGATCTGCCTGCCTCTGCCTACCTAAGTGCTGGGATTACAGGCACGCACCACCACACCCAGCCATTATTGCTTTTAGTAGCTAAGCTTATGGCTATTCCTATTCACTCATCACATCTTTCAAACATACACTTCAGCTCCCAGGAACATACTATCTCTATCTCTATCTATCATCTATCTATCATCTATCTATCTATCTATCTATCTATCTATCTATCTATCTATCTATCTATCTATCTATCATCTATCTATATATATTGTATGTGTGAAAGAAAGAGAGGAGAGGTCACACCATGTTGCCTTTGTGGATGCCAGAGGGCAACCTATGGAGTCAGTTCTCCCTTTCCACCTTTCTGTGGGTTCTGGTATCAAACTTAGGTTGTCAGTCTTGTACAGCGAGAATCTTTACCTGCTGAGATATCTTTAATATGATCTTTAATATTGATTGTTGTCAATGTCAGGATCATAAACATATTAGAGTATTGATAGACTCCATTCTAATTAAAGCCATTCATATTCCTTATTAATGAGTGAGGAAACTGCCCCGAGAGAATCTGAGCTAGAAATAGTACACCATCTATTTTTTCAGAGATAAAGAGCTATATTGATTTTTGAACAATGAGAAACATGCAAATGCATCAATAACTGTTACTAGTCAGTCTATTTTCCCTTTCACCATTACTATTATTGTTATGATATAGGTGAGAAAATTCATTTTAGTTACTATCATCTGATGTTCTTTAGACATTGTTTAATATAATAATATCCATGTGCTTCTTTTGTCATATGCTAGCCAGGCAACTGTAATGTATGTTTAGAGACAGACATACAGCATCAGAAATGTTGCTTATAAAGTTATATACTAATTGATAATTTCTAGATAAAACTGGTGAGTACCAAAGCCACAGTGAGAGTTGAATCTTTCATGCCTTACCTGTGAGTTAGCATTGTCAAGCATGTGTTTTCCTAGCAGGCAGGGCACAGGTGACTCTTGCTTTCAGTGGTTTATCCTTGGTTATGGTAGAGTTAGCAAGCCTTTGATGGCAACACTGCACTTGCCTTGGCAGTTTTCTTTGCTCTGTAGTCCATGCTCAAGGTGCTTTTCACTTTATTTGAAAGAAGGCAAGGATTGGTAGTGTATTAGACATCAAGTAAAAAACTTCCAGCTTGAATGGTTCTGACAGACAAATGGTTTACAAATGCATCCTCCCAGACTGTGAACACCGGGGAGCAATTACTAAGTACACGTTTCTGCTAAAGGGAAGAGAGGTGCTTCTTTGCTCAGTGCACTTCCACTGAGCAGTGGGTTCTAGTGTAAAGGTGAGAGCTCCCAGCAGAGATGTTAAGTCACTGAACTTGTATTTCTCTACTGTGAGTAGAGCATCGTGTTCATCTTGCAGTGGACATATGAATAACACTGGATACTACCCACAGCTTTAATGACTTTCTTATTTATAGATTTTGAATTAGAGATCATTTTCTTTTTATCATGTGACCAAATATATACAAACTGGACAAGAAGTGCAAAGCACATTTATAAGAGAAATGCGTGTGCCATCAGTGTATTAGCTTTCTGCCACTGTAACAAAATACTGTAGGCATTCAGCTTACTAAAAGTCTGGCTCGCAGTTTTAGGATCGCAATCATGATCACAGGGGCCCATTGCTTTCAGTATGCTAATGTGCAGGGTGAGGAACACACACAAGCCCAACCTAGCCCATCACTGCCGAAAGCCATGAAGGTCCAGCAATCCACTAAAAGGCATGCTGCTAGTGTCCAAATGTCCCACCCAGCTCCTCCTCCTGGTTCCCCACTGGCTACAATTCATGACATTGAAGGTGCCCACAAAGCTTTCTCTGGGCTGTACTCACAGTTCAAAGCACGTCAGGCAAGTAAAGGGCTCAGATAATGAAAATGACCCAGAGATGGCAGAGATAAAATAGGTCATCATGAGCAAGTTACCAAAAAGTAAATAATTTCCATGGCGCGCTGTGGAAATTAGGCTGGGAGACAATAAGTTTCTGATTTTGGTTAGACAGGCCACTGAGTTATGCACAACACCTATCAAGTACCCAATAATTGCATAAGTGATGTGTGCAAAATTAGTTTTGTGAACAGGACAGGAGCCTACCACAGAGGACCTCGGAAAGACTCTATCCTGCATGGTAACCAAGCAGATGCTGAGACTCATAGCCAAACTTTGAGCAGAGTGCACAGAATCTTATGAAAGAAGAGGGAGATAGAAAGATCTGGAGGGGACAGGAAATCCACAAGGAGTGAAAAAAAATTGGGCCCAGGGGTCTTTTCTGAGACTGATACTCCAACCAAGGACCACCCATGGAGATAACCTAGAACCCCTGCACACAAGCAGCCCAAGGCAGCTCAGCATTCAAGTGGGTTCCCTAGTAATAGGAACAGGGACTATCTCTGACAGAAATTCAGTGGCCTGCTCTTTGATCACCTCCCCCTGAGGGGGGAGCAGCCTTACCAGGCCACAAAGGAAGACAATGCAGCCAGTCCTGATGAGACTGATAGACTAGGATCAGGTAGAAGGGGAAGAGATCCTCTCCTATCAGTGGACTGGGGGAGGAGCATGGGAGGAGGAGGGAGGGTGATATTGGGACTGGATAAGGGAGGGGGCTACAGCTGGGATACAAAGTAAATAAACTGTAATTAATAAAAAAATAAATTAAAAGTTAGTTTCTTTACTAACTGGTACATCAGTAATATATGATATGCAGCAGTCTTGGCCTCTGCGTGCTTCACGTGGAAGCTTAGATGTCTAAAATCATAGAGCACAAGGAATGGACAGAGACAACGTCTGCCTTAGGCTCATGCCTGGTGCCCTCACTGCTACAATGAAGCTTCTAAAAGTTACATATTGTTCCATATTTGGTTCTTCAGGTGTTAGAGAATTAATGGGTTTTATAATTCTATGCAGAATTCAAAGACAAATTCAGCATTAGATATAAACTCAACACTTATTATTTTTTTCCATAAAACATAGAAATGGTGAAAATACAACTGTGGCATAATGGCGCACTCCAGGATTATTACTTTAAAAGACAATTAGTTTCTTATAAACAGGAACATTCATTCGCTGTTGTATTTCCCACTGGTGTTTTCATGTTTACTTCTTGGTTCACATAAGAAAATTAAGTGTTTATTCCTACTTTGTATCACATTTATAGATTCTGATTTATCTATCATTACTACTTAGCAATTATAATGATGAAAATAATAATTATCACAGCAGTGAATTACCAACTTACCCACTTTGTTTTCAACCATTCCATTATGCCAGTGAAAATGCTGAGAATTTTCAGGAGTATTTATCCTGTCTCTAATTAGAGAGGAAGCATAAAAGTTGTAGCATCATTTTCTCATAATGAGAGAGGCTGGCACACAGGTTACTTAATAAATACTATAGTTTGAAACAGTGTTTTGTTAAATGGAACAGGAAAGTTGCCTGAGGAATGAATGGACTTTCCACCATCTAGTATAACACTATGTACGTTTTCTAGTTTAGATCAAGATGTGTCGTGTCCTAATTTGACATGTGACACCCAGATTAGAAAGAATCATCGGATTTTATTTACGGTGGAGTAAAGTGGTAATCAGAAGAAGTTAAAAAATGTAGACACATTCGGGAGCACGCATGGCTCTGGATGCATTGTGTACACAGGGGAAAGGATGAGCCATGGTGTGAAGTAGTATGGAGGAGGTTCACTGAGCCGTTTGCAGCTGCAGCATAGGAAGCAACACACATCTTCGTGGGAGCCTTCACCAGGATGAACTGCAGCAATGAATAAAACACAGTGTGGATGGAGATGCCCAGCCATGCGGTCATGTGCGTCTTAAACGTCATACGTTGGCATGTTGATTTTCAACATGCTTCTTAAATAACATATGTTTGTGTTTGTAGGCCCTTATTTTACATATGAAGTAAGTAATTTCAGAGAAATGAAATGTTTTAAGTTTTAAATCATTAAAAAGTGGTTAAAATTGGTTTACATCATTGTGAACCCTAATTGCTGTTGCCATGTGGCTTTGCTATCGTACATGATTGTAATTTCTAGTGCACTGCTTACTGAAAGGTAATCCCTTTATTTTTACAAAGCAAATAAACAAATCGCTAAGTTCTCCCCAAGTTTTGATAAAAACATGTAATATGCCCAACTTAGCAAGAATGGCTTTCATTCTGGCTCTTCTCTTGTTTTTCCTAGAAATCATATATTCTAAAACTATTCCTCAAATATTCTTTTGAGCTGCTGCTGGCACATCAGTGGTGGGGCTGTTAGCAAGAGACATGCAATCTTTGCTTCTTTTTGGGAAAGCTGCCAAGAACCACTTGGAGGAACTAGCAGTAAAGCCATCAAGTTGTGATAAATGTCCCAAAAATAAAACCGCAGGAGTGCAATGTAAAATGAACATCCTCTCTGGACTGGGGAATCTGGGCAGGGGTCCCTGTGTCCACGATATTTAAACCTGACCTTTTCATGGTCCAAAAGTTAGTCACATGACAACTGGCAGTGGATAAAAGGATGGCTTTTGATCACTGAAATGTCAATTTTTAGAATATCATACAGCTCTGTCATGAAAATCTAGATTTCTTTTCCAATGAAAGTGGAAGCAGGAAGCAGTATTGTAGAGCGGAAGAGAGCATGAAGGACCATTGTGGTGGGTGCAAATGTGAATACATTATACTGTTGTGACTATGACGGAATCATAATGAAACTCATTTTATGTGCAAACTAAAGTATTTCTTAAAATTTTCTAAATGTCAGTTCTGTGAA